TGACTATAGCACAGTAGAGATCTCTTGAAAAAAAATCGTAGGTATAAATGTTCCTGATGTCGAATCATTTTTTTTTTCAAATATCTATCAGAGCCTATTATTGAAATACATGTATAAACATGATACCGACTTGCGAGAGATTGATTGTTGTAACCGATAAATTTAATACTTCAGAAGGATAATTACAAGGTAAAAACTAATAAAAATATACTAGTAATGTGAAGATGTCACAGGTATGGTATATAATCTATATAATACAAACTTTTTAATTTATGTCCGTGGCGAGATCAACTTGTCATTGCATGACACGGTAATCTTATTACATGCGTATCAGTCTAGAGATAGATCTTGTTCGCAGAATTTATTGTTTAAACTTATTAATGTTGAAAAAAGGTACACGTAAGCAATTCATATCTTTCCATTTTGAAAGGTTCTCAAACATTCGTCATACAAATCAATCATTTCAATTAATTTTGGTAAAGTGTCTTTAGTCAGCATGTTTTTATTTAAACATGCTACAAAAACAGATACTAATCTTAGTTGAAGAGCTTTCCTTTAATAAATCACAATATACGTACCTCGTTTTAACCAAAATAGCTAAAAATTGTTTATTCAAGACATGAAGGAACGGCAAGTTTTAGTGATAAGTGATTGTAAATTTCTATAAAACTGATGTTAACACATAAATACGTCGCCTTTCAGCAAACAGCAATAATTTCACAATGCCAGTGAAATTTTTTTAATGGAAAATAACAAAAACAAAAGTGATACAACATGCAAGATTAAAGTATTCAAAATCAAAGCACTTTGACAAAATTAACGAGCAATTTGATAGTACTTGTACTCGATCGTGAAAATATCTAAGTAGTAAGCCTAATAAAATGAAATATATCTTACAAAAACACATTGATAACAAGTGCAGTGTAGCAGTGTTGTTTTTGATTTTTTTCTATTTGGTTTCAATTTCACAACAACAAAATTACATTTATCGTTTACAATGCAGGCTTTTATATTATTCAATTAATATTAATTATACAAAAAAAAAAAAAAAAAAAAAAAAAAAAGAGAAAAAAAACAGACAAAAAGAAACAAACAAAACACAATGAAATAACATTTCACTCTTGAATTAACATTCTTACATTTAACTCTATACATTATTTTGAGCAGATGAACGTTCCTTTACTCTTTTATTCTTCCAGGAAGTCTTGATTAGGTATATTCCGTGAAAAACATTGTCCGTGTTATTGTCACGGCACGTATAAGAGATCCCTTCAATTGCTTACAACCGAACAATACATCTAAGTGTCACAGGTTTAGTTACACATGTATGCTCTTTTTGGTGTGTTTTATTGTCTTGTCTGTATTTTTGTTACTGCTTATTTTTCATAGCTGTCTTGTTTTTAATTTATTTCGTCCTAAAAAGTATCACATGGCTGATATCCGAAGGCTGGTTAAAATCAGGTTGACTTCATGTTAGAATTACAGGGAAGAAATGAATATAAGAGGCATTTTCATTGCTATACGTGTTGCAAATCCGTGGATTTATTATACCAGCAACACGTTCTCATTTAAAATTTCGTTTTGATTAAACGTTATATCCATTAACATTGATATAACGTTCAGTAAAAAAAATGAACAATAAACATCAAAACGAACTCTGACGAATTATATTGTACAACATAAATTGTTTTATTTGTACGTGTTTGTTTTGTTTGAATTTGGCTTTAGACCAGAATTAATGTTATGGGTGGGGTTATGAACCATTTTAGGTCTCTCTGTTGTTATTACATTGTTTGTGTTTTGGGATGCCAAGACCGGTTTACAATATTTTTGCAGTGTTATATTTTTTTCTTTTTCATTAGCTGTTTGCATTTACTAAAGTTTTAACTTGTATAAGTTGTTTGTTGCTTTTCCGCTAGCCTTTTATTTCTACTTGCAATATTTCATATGTGATTCTTTTCACATCTATTTTAAACAATATTACTGTCAAAGTTTTAGGGATTGGTCCTCGATAATTTCTTCTATGACTTTTGGCCCAACTCTTTTGTATATTTACATTAATGTTTTTAGTTATATTTGTGTCAGTTTATATATGTATTGTATACAATAATGTATGATAAAACTGATCAGTTTTACTTTGGCCGAAGATAATTCTTTTCCTTTTAACATACCTTACACAACAGAAAACTATTTTGAATTTTGCCCCTCGAGGCGTTGGGTTGGTGGACCTTTTGAAATAAATAGAATTTAGATTTTGTTTCCAGAGTGATTTCCTTTGTAGTCACTTATATCTTATAATATAACTATCTATGTTCTTTAATTGAAATAGATATATGATATTGTGAGTGGAAGTGGTAGGTGGTTCCCCGTCCCCAACATCCACAGTGACGTTGAAAATAAATGATCAATGATGTTGCTGAAATTAAACAAAAAGAAATTTGAATACGTATAATCAGTTTAATTCCAGTTTGATAAATAAATTCTGTTGATGCCCTGAAACATATTTTAAACTTAATTATTATCATAGTTATTTTGTACTGTGCACTTTATAATAAAATGATAAAGCAATGCTTGACTTGCAATACAAATTTTAAATGCTCATTCCTCTAGTAATTTAAAACCAATTATCTAGGTCTAAAGTGATCTAAGTAACAGCGGCCAGCAGGTGTCACAATGAAATATAAGAAACATAAGAAAACATGTAGCAGCAAGTCTAAATATTCAATGTTATTTTTCATATAAAGATTGATATTTGGAACAATATATATAATTGGTTTTAATTTTGAGAGGCTTGGATATATATAAAACGTACAATCTCATCAAAGTTTGATATGAAATGGTATAATGTAGGTATAGTGTACTAGTACAGTCGTATAGTGTCTACGTTTTTATATACATGTACCGCAATAAATTAATATATTGATGATCAGATAAAGGAATATTTCAAATAGATGGTAATTAAACAACATTATCAAGTGTAACCATTTATAAAAGATCATTTATTGACCCAGTAATTTGCTGATAACATATTTTTCAACGTTTTTCGTTTAAGTTGGAAACTCCCTTTGTATATCAGTCATAAGTTAATTACATATGTTAACTAGCAGAGCAGTGGTTCAAAGACACATCTGATAGTTTCTTAACTTAATCTGATAGATACTTGAGCTTATATGTAAGTGAATTGAATTTAGCTGCTAGTCGTAACTTCAGCTAATCTAATAGTTACTTGAGTTTATCTGACAGTCAGTTGAACTTATTTGATGGCTATTTGAGCTAATCTGATAGTAACTTGAGCTTATTTGCAAGTAAGTTAAGTTTAACTGATAGTTACCTGAGCCAATCTACTAGTTATTAAAGATTGTCTGATTTATCTGATAATTACTTGAGTTTATTTGATGGTAACTAGATCTTATATGATATTTTCTTGACCCTATCTGATGGTTACCTGAATGTATCTGTTTATAGTTACCTCAGTTTATCTGATAGTTATTTGAGCTTATTTGATTGTTATTGGAGTTTATCTGATGAAAAATTGAGCTTATATGACATTAACTTGAGCTTATTTGATGGTTTCATGAGTTAATCTGATAGTTACATAACATAGAGTAAAAGAAGCCCAACATAGCAAAATTGAAAATGTTGTATGCTTGGTTTGATTGAGCCTGTTCATAGACGATATTTGAAAGTGCAAGTTACTATCCACGCCCCCTAGCTTAAGCTTTAGCATAATTCATCATTTAAACACGAAACAGGTGTAAATTTGGATTTAGAAACATCTGCAGATGTATCAATAAGGCGATTACCATGGAGCCGCCATTTTTTGCAAGCCACAACACGCTTTTAGGAGTTGCATTGTGAATATATGCTAGGTGTGTTATAAGGTGGTCATCAACTAATAAAGGTGAAAGCAGTATTTTACTGACTCTCTACAACAATTATTTGTAGATATAGTGTTGTGTAAATATTATTGTATAATAAACATGTACTTATTTTTAAATATAGATTGTGCCTGTTTTGATAAACTATTTACACAAACATGTAAAGGCACATAAAGCCCCAAGAAGGGTTTTAATTCAAAAACCTTTGAAGTTTTGATGTCATATCATTTTGGGGAAATGGTTACAACACTCTCTGGGTGTAAAGTGTCGTCTGTTACGAAACCTTTTAAAATGTACATGTTTTAGTATATTAAGATAAATGATATAGAAGTAAGCTGTATTACAATTTTGTTTTATGTTTTGGCCAGAATGTATATACATATTATAATTGTAAAGCATTTTAATATGCCTCCGCCATCATTTGCGCCATTTTGAATATTACACTCTGCTTACTAATGACAAAGTGCCATCAAACGGATTCATGAATGATATATGATCTAAAAGAAGAAAACAAAACTACTTATGTGGTTCATCAGCTTTATTGTCGGTAACATTCAGATATTATGTGATATGTGAGAATAAGAAAGAGATTAATAACTAAAATTTCAATCGCAATTCAATTGTAAAATTTACTAACATACTAAAAGTTCAGTCAATTCAGTGTTTTAAACAAAAGAGACATTCTAAAATTATGTAACAACTCTTTTGAGAATCTGCCTTAAAGTTTTGGAACCAGTATAATTTTATATTTGATATATATTCGCAGCCTTAAAATGTCAGTCTTCAGCCCAATAACAATGCCATTATGAAAACACTTGATTACAAACATTATATTAAAGTCATTATTGTCGTGTTAATTTTAACAATTTAATAACGAATGATAAAAGGGTCGCAAACATATTCAACAATAACATAAATGTTTCATAGGTTTGTAAATCTATAGAATCATAACCATTTAAATGCAAGTAAAACAAGTTCAGACTGTGAGCTGTATGCTGTAAGAGATATAAGATTATTTTTAGAACCTAGATTTCTATTGGTCGACAATAAACACGTAATACAGATAAGGACATGATAGTGTATAATATACAATCATTCGATCCAGGGGACGGTGTCATTAAACAAAAATCTTTATATCAAATTATAAATAAGTTGCAAATATATGTACAAGTATTGTGTATTATTTATGAAATAATCTAGACAATAGTGGAGACTGGAAATGTGTGATTTGTTTCAGCAGTTTAAAATGATACATCAATACTGACAAGACAAAGCTGTGAATCAGGTAAAAGTACATTTTGAATTGCTTTTATAAAATAATTGATATATAATTTTGTAAAAGAAAAATGACCTTTTTAGAAAATAATTAACAAACAATTTCAAAAATGTTTTATTAGAAAATCAATATCGTCGTCTGTATCTACAAATCACCGTTTATCTAGGGCCATATCACTTGTCAAAAATGTTTAAATGCATAAGCCCGGAAACATAAAAATACAAACATTTCAAACAATACGGATAAAATAGTGGGTAAAAAGGAATTAAGTCATGCCGGGGACAGCAGGAATGGTTGTACATTTAAATACATGTATTATTTTACTTTTAAAATATTTCACTTAGATATTACGTAAATGTTCTCGCAAAATTTTTGGAAGTACATACAAAATTAAAACAAACAAATATAATAAAAAACATGTTCAACATGGACTGTTTCTCCACAAGAAAGGTATAAATCTAATATAAACTACAGACAAGAATTTGAAAATACAAAAACAAAACACTTATAACAATATCAAACGTACAAAAGTACAAGTACAATTTAAAAAGAAAAAAATATCTTAATATGTGAAACAAATCTCAGTCGCGTCAATTTTTGAAAAAAAGAAGAACAATTATCTAAATATCAACCAACAGCAGGAAATCTTGATATTGACGACTTATATATATTTTTAATGTTTATATTGTTCAGATAAAACACATTTAAACGATGAAGAACTAAGTGGTAATTATGATGAAGACCGTCATTGCAAAATAACTATTCAGAAATAAAAGAAACAATTTATTCACAAAATGATTATAAAGGAGAGGTACTGATACACTGATCACGGAAATATAGAACCACTCATTTCCATTTATTTCACAAATAATACTAGAATTATTTGATAGAATTTTTGAATCTGGAGAATACCCAAAGTAATGGTAGTCAGGAATCATAGTACCAATATTCAATAGAGGGAACATTCATGAAGTAAAAAAAAATCAGAGGGATAACACTTATAATTATCATTGCAAAATATATTCTCAAGTCTAATCAAATCGTCTTACAAAATGGTCTACCAAATATAACAAATTAAATAATTTATAATCAGTATGGATTCCAAAAGGAAAAATCAACAGTCGATTGTATTTTTCTTTTACAAGCTATTATTTATAAAATATTATGTTCTAGTAAAAAGCTATACTGTGCATTCATAGATTTTGAAAAAATGTTTTGACAAATTAGAAAGGTCATTTATATTTCAAAGACTTGTTAAAGAAAGAGCAGGTTCTTAATTCATTAAAGCTATCCGATGTATGTATAATACTGTTAAAGCAGTTGTAAGATATATTAAAAGCTTATTTTGAATCAATCATCGGCGCAAAACAGGCAGATCCCGGCTCCTGTCTCTTAATTTTATGTTTTGTAAATGATATATTAACCGGTTTCGACGATAATATTGTCAACATTTTTAACTGTCGATGAAATAAAGTTGTTAAATAATTCATACTTCTTTTTGCCGATGATGCCGTACTTTTTGCACATTTCCAATCATAAATAATATATGGAAACAAACTTGGTATTCAGAAATAATTAATTCATGTAGATAACAAACGTACAGTACCTCGAATTTGAAAATTACTAAAATTGTGTAAATATAAATAAATACAACTAGCGCAGTTTCGGTTATCATCACATAATCTAGAATTTGAAAATTGTAGGGACAATGGAGTTCCAATAGAAAATAGACTATGTCAACAATGTAATATTCATGTCACCGAAAATGAATTCCATTTTTACTCGTTTGTCCAAAATATTATAGCCTTCGTAAGAACTTTTTAAAATCATATGTTTGCCGTTTGTCTACACTTAAAAAATGGAAACTTGAATGTCATCAAAAAATGAAAAAGAAAATGTCAAGATATTTGTATTTTTCACTAAAAGTAAGAAAATCTGATTATCTTATATATTGTTGAACTACATAAAAACATACCTGAAAACAAATTGTATGATTGCATTTATATATATTTATTTCGCATTAAATAGAGAATATGTGTTTGTTTGTGCGTAAGATGTAATAAAATTACATCTTACACAACATCAAACAAATATTCTTTTATTTTATGCTTAAAAAAGATTAAATGCAATTTCCTCAATATTATCTATAATATAATAAAAATCCAGTGTCTCTATATTATATCTATTTGTACCATAGTACATCTCTAACAACGAAATCAAAAGCTTTTTTCGAAATCAACAAAAATTACATATAGCATTTCATTTTTTTTCAAGCAATGTGAAATGAGACCATTTAAGATAAAAATATTATCAACAGTTCTAATAATTATGTATAATAATGTTAATATTTCAGAACGATTTTTAAAAAGGAAAAAAAGAGTAAAAAAAGTTTCAAAAATAAAATAAAAATAATTTTTTATAAGGAGAAACGAATCTGAATAGATATATATCATATAATCTTTTTCAATTGTTCATTAATTTAAATTAGTATTTTACTATTGATAAAAATGTTACTTGTTTCAATTTCCTACAATAATGATATTAAACAAATAATTTTAAAAATGAAATATGTATCTATTTAATATTTATTTATTTATTTATTTATTAATTCATTTATTTATTTATTTATTTATTTATGTATTCATTTATGTATTAATTAATTAATTAATTTATTTATTTATTCATTCATATACACATATGTATTTCTATATTTACAAGATTTACTCTCGATGTATCAAACACGGGAGGTAAATCAAATAATATGCCATCAACAAAAATATTTTCCTATTTTTGTTTACTTATTTAAGTTGTATTTATTAATTCAAAGCTAAATATTTGAAAAACATTATTAGATATAATACAATTTTAACGTACTTAAAGAAAGAAATTAGACTAATGCTTTTATGCCAAATAAATATTTTTCGTAGATCTTTCCACTCGAGGTCACTCTCAGATACTTATGTCCACAAATTAAAATATGAGCAAGATATTTTATTTTGGCTCGTTTTTCTTATTTCGGTAATGAAAAGTTTATTTTGGTAAAGTTACCGAAATCAAGTTGATTTTGGTATCGGAATGTTCCTCATAATTTTCATGAAATATTTTAATTCATCATTTATTATTTATTTATTTCACCATAATCACTGTTGTGTCAACGGAAGAACACGTAACTGATTAATAAAATCTGTAGATTATGCCCGTTTTTAAAAATGTAAGTATTTCAGAAATTCTGATATATCGGACTGTGTCGATTAATTAAGGGGAGTTCACTGCGTGAAAATTTGCAAATAACGTGACTTAATTTTCTAACCGACCGTTAATAATGACTGCTTTGTCCAGTACTTTTACATGATATTATTTTTACTGCGTCTTAAGAATATAAAAACCCGGTAGTTGCTTTAACAACTAATCTGTGTTGATACTTTACTGTTTAATCTTTAACAAATAAAACCCCACTAAAGTATAGAAAAGTAGAGTCGTCGCCTCCCTTTAATCAATAATGATAATTTATTTCTATTCTTTGTTATAAATAAGCTTTCACAATTTTATTTGTATTAAAATAGAGTTACGAACGACCAAAACGACAAATTTAGAAATGTTACTGGTTCGGTTTGATTGAGTCTGTTTATGGACGGTACTGGAAAGTTCAAGTAACCGTCCCTAGTACCGACTTAAACATATCTCAACATTTAAACACGAAAATAGTGAAATTTGGAATATAAACACATTTGCAGATGTATTCATAAGGCGGTTTTTATGGAACCTTCAATGTGATTTACTTTCAATGAAAAGCGAGGCATATCCTCCAAATAAAAGAAAGCATGTGACCTAAACGAGAAAACAGTAGACAGATCTTATCAAATTATATAAAAAATTAAATACCCGACGAAGAAACTTCGTTTTCTAGGGAACGGAAGACAATTATTAGCCTAGAAGAAATAATTTTACAATATTACCACTTTTGTTTTAAAATACATTGCAATGGGCGTAAACTTTTTGAAATGATTGAAAATCACTTCGATAAACAACTCGCACGTAAATGTGTATTTCCTAATAAAGAATTAAACAAAAAAGGTATGTAAAGCCAGTAAAAAAGACGAATACTCCATCATGTGTATTTAAACGTAAACTTAGTTTTATGTAAAATCATTCAGTGTGTATTGTGTTTATAGTGCAGACACAGAAAACTGTTTGACATATGTCATTCCAATGCCACATTAATATTAAGTCGGCACAGCAGAGGCATGGGTCTGTACATTATCTTGTTTTTTTATTGTTTTTTGTTTGTTTTGTTTTTAACATTTTAGAAAGATAGACAGTGAAAAGTTTTCTTGTAGTACAAAATAACATTTCACGCAGGCACAACATTGAAAATGCTAATGAATAAATGCATTCAGTCGAAATATAAACTCAGTTGTTCTGACAGAAGTGTAAAGGATAAAACACACACGTGATATATTGACAATGTTTTTAAATGAAAAACAAAGTTGGGTAAGGGTAATTTATAAAACAACAAATGGTGTATCTTAGTCTTAAATAAGTTAAAATAAATGTCGATGATTTTTGCTTTTACATCAACAAATATTTTATTAATGATCATGGTTTTGAGTCATCGTAACAGTCTGAGACAGGGTACTTGGAGTGAAGTGTTTGTTAAAAGCACTTTGACAAAATTTACGAGCAATTTGATAGTACTTGTACTCGATCGTGAAAATATCTAAGTAGTAAACCTAATAAAATGAAATATATCTTACAAAAACACATTGATAACAAGTGCAGTGTTGCAGTGTTGTTTTTGATTTTTTTCTATTAGGTTTCAATTTCACAACAACAAAATTGCATTCATCGTTTACAATGCAGGCTTTTAATTATTCAATTAATATTAATTATACAAAAAAAAAGAAAAAAAACGAGGAGGAAAAAAAAATGAAATAACATTTCACTCTTGAATTAACATTCTTACATTTAACTCTATACATTATTTTGAGCAGATGAACGTTCCTTTACTC